CGTCCGCCTACTGCTGAATGCAGGCGCTCGGCGAGATACGACCGCCCCACCGCTGGTAGTTCCTAGCCGGTAGTTGACGAGCAGTGAGGCGGTTGTATCTCGCCGCGCGCCTGCATTCAGTGGTATGGCGGACGGATATGCGTTTATTCGCTGATTTTCAAAAATTAATATCTTTTTAACGATTGCGAATTTTTTAAAATGATAAAGGACTTTTCTGTTCAGTTTCATCTGCTCTACCTGCCCATAAAGTCTGGTGCGATTATTATGGGACACCCTGTATATATGGGTGTAACTTAAATAACGACCACTAATCATATAGCACTATTCCTGATAAAAAATTGAGTCAAAAAGTCTTAAGCCTTTTTTTTCTACAATTCTTAATTATGCAGTTATTCCTCTAGTTAAGCTAAACCAATCGGCACCGTTCTTTAGACGGGCGCACGTCAGTGAGCCGCGCGCGTAGTAGTGTGCGTGAGCGATCCGCCCAAAGAGTTTATATACATAGAGTAGAAGAGACCTAGTGGCGCCTTTGACTGGAACCGTGAGCTGACAGAAAGAGAAAGAAAATGGTAGAGTGAAGGGTACATCCATCTTTTATCTTTTTCTCGCATGCGCGATTGAACAAGGATGCAGATGGGCGACTCGTTTTCAGTCTCTTTTTATGTGCTCACGCATTCTTAGTTGGCTCCTCTACACCTTGAAAATTGTCGCAGAATTATCGTAGAGAAAAATCATCGCTTTATTACAAAATAAAATCATGATATTCGAGTATAGAAACTGAGAATTTTAGCATGAAATTTTGATGAAATCATAAATCATCGATATTGATATCAATCTATCAGAGATTAAATTTATTAATATAGTTATAGAATTTTATTCTAATCGATTAATTGCGGGATATTCAACATTATAAACTTCGTTATCGTTAAAATTTAAACTTATTATTATAGAATTAGTATCTTCAGTATTATAAAGCAAATTTAGATTTTCAATATTATAAGATATGAATCTCAAACTTATCTTATTTCAAAACAAAATATATGAAAATTTTGTCATGAGCTTTAAAACTTTGATATACAATCTGTAACTAATTGACATTGAGACTTTAAAAATTCGATAACGACTTAGAGTTTCAACTAGGATTTGAAGCATTTTGATATTATGAAATCTGGAATTTTGCAATATTCCATTAGCTTCGGCGTCATGAGATCTAGAACCTTGACATAGATTCTAGAATTTTCGAACATTATTGGTCCTGGAACTTTATCTTACTCCATTTTAACTTATCGGAACATCGACATCATAGGATCTAGAGCATTGTTATTTTAACACCTGGAGCATTGTAGAATCTGGAGTCTCGTGGAATTTGAAGCCTCGCCATCGTGGGATTTGGAACCTCGGCATCGTGGGATCTGGAGCCTCGGCATCATAGGACCTGGAGCTTCAGTATCGTGGAACTTGGAGATTTCAAGTTGAATCTTTAATATTATGGGATTTATAATTTTGCAACCTAGAAATATTAATAATCTCGTCGGACATCGTGGGATCTGAATCTTCGTAACATTGTAAGATTTGAAGTTTAACATCGTAAGATGTCTGAAATTTTGATGACATTTTGAGTTTTCATTATTATGAAATTTTGATTGTAAATATTATATTATATTACTCTAAATCTTGGTATCAAAAGTTAAAGTTGTTATTAAGAAATTGAATTTTCAACATTATGGATTTAAATTTTTAACTTGGCAAAATCTGAGCTTTTATCAAGAGTTGTTGCATTATAAGATTTATATTCTATAAATCACTATAAGATCTACTACATTGTGAGATTTATATAATATAAGATAAAATAAAATTTTGAGATAGCTTTTCAGATGTTTTAATTTACCGATCTAATTTTTGAATTTATTTTTTATATTTTAATACTGGTGGCTGTAGAATGCACACATTTTCATGATCAAGCGAGTGACTTCGATTTATTTTATATTCACTGAACACGGTTAAAAATATGAGCCGAAATGTCTAAAATATATGAGAATAAAACTCTTTATTTTTTAATATTAAACTGCGTATTATTAACTGCGCTTGATTCCCATTTCCTTTTATATTGTTATTTTTTTATATTTTCATGTTATTCTCTATTTTTTAATATTCTTTTTTTTATATATGCATGTACAGTACACAGCGTAATACAAAATTAGAAAATAGAAACTTGAAAATAAAATATGAAACTTTGAAAATATATTAATGTGTTGGTGATATTGATACAAATATTTTGAGACCAAGAACGAATATAATCTGCAAATCTTGTTTCAGTTGTTTTAAAAATTTTGATTAATAGATAATTACACAATTTAATTAATTATACTACTAAATATTACAATTAATACAATTGATATAATCCTGAATTAATTATATTCAGTAATATAATTAAATGTGTATAATTGCTTATTAAATTAATATAAATTTCATGTAAGATTTTGAATACATAAACTTCTAGAAAGGATACTATTTTTTGTGGATTATATTTCTCATAATTAATTTTTTATCACTTATACATAAATTGTATTTTCCTTTAATTTTATTTCAATAATTTTTTGAGAATTCTAATTTTAAATGATTTATCTTTTACCAAATTATATCTGGTATTTTTAAAAGTTTATGATATTAAAAAAGGCGTATGGTATAAATATTATAAATTCCAATATATTAGAATTAGAGTGAATATAATTCATGTTCAGTGAAATTATATATTCTTGTTATTTTGTTGTATTTCAATTCATAAAAGATTGAAAATATAATATAAAATAAAATATTAAGATAAATAATGATAAATTACATTTGTTAGAAATTGGATTGTTACGAGTACGCGACAACTATAAAAACGTTTGTTATTAAATTGAGTTTAATGACTATTTAATTTTTATTTTAATTAATTAAAGATTAATACACACTAAGAGCAGGAATACATTATTTTTACAATATATACAACATATATACAAAAACGCAATCGCTCTTAACACTTATATCGCTCCACGGATTAATATGATTTAATAAATAAAAAATCACAATAATATGTAAATACTATTCTAATTAATCTCTTTCACAAGATATCCCAATGTCGAGGAAACATCTAAAATACTCGAAGCGCATCTGTAAGATTTAAAACTTTCATGACATTCAAATGTCGCATTGATAGAGTAGATTTAAGATCGTTAAGCGATGTTGTCGTCCTGCTTAAAGCCCTGGAAAGGGCTTTGCATCCTGACGGGTTTACTGGGCGCGGCAAGCAGTTTGCTCCAAGCACGGCAGGTTTTGCCAGACCATACCCACATGCCGGAGGTGACGCCGACCACGAGAGATAAGAAGAGCCTAAGAAGGGCAACTTCGAGGCCGGCGGCTCGGTATACCGGGCCTGGGACGCAATTCTGCGCCGCGCGACAGTCTAGCGCGGCCAGCAGCGCTAGTTTTCGCCATCGCGGCCTCATCGAGGCCTCCTGCAGTACGCAGACGAGGCCACCCAGCGCCGGTAGCGCGTACAATAGCGCGAAGATACCTAGCCGCGTCATCAGGCGCTCCAATTTTGTTGCGCTGCGTCCGGCGCAGCGCACAGCCCTTCGCACGCGAATCAGCGCGCCTCCAGCGACACTACCAAACACGCAGCCCAGCAACAGCAGCACGGCGTGCGGCAGCACTTCCAGCCACAGTGCCGACTCATCGGAGATTTGACACAGCCCGGTCAACTCGTCTGCAACCACGTTGCGCGACAATAAACTTCCTGCATGGAGAAAGACGTGTGATTATTTGCTATAAATATCATAATAAATCAGAAAAATATAATTAAAAATCAATAAACAGACGTTTAAATATTAATTTAAAAAATGTCACAATTGAAAAGCGAATTAAATAGTAATGTTGTATAATTAACATGTTGATCAATGACGGATTCTAATTCGCTTGTCTTTCCGATGACGTCGAAGTGAATTTTCACGCTTAAAATTAATATATTTATTATTTTAGACTATTATTTTAATATTAAGGCTCCTGCAGTTCACGATCACTACTATCTTATTATTGTTAGATTGTGACGTCAGAAGCGAGAAAATATACAAAAAAATTCTTGCAAAATATATTAAAATAGAAATATATATTTCAATAAAACAAAATTTAAATCGTTAGAACCTTGCAAAATTTGCCTTGAAAATTTTTCTTTTATTTCGTTAATTAATAAATAATATTTTTTGAAATGAAATATGCATAACAAATAATGAAATAAGCCATAATTTACAGCTAAGACAACTGTCAAATTAACAATATAGAAATAAATATAATTTAATTCCTCTTCGAAACAACAAGATAATTTTCTGTATATTTTATAAATCTATTCTATTGATTACAAATGTTTTATTAAAAAATATTTCTATGTGAATTAATATATTTTATAAGAATTTTTATTGTGTATTTTCTCATTTCTGATGTCACAATCCAAGATAATAGTGATGAGTGAACAAGAGCCTTAATTAATTATATATTTGTAGAATTAAAAATATAGTTTTAAAGGCTGAAAAGCCGGTTTTTTTAGATTTTTCTGCGGATTTTTTCGGTTTCTTTCCCAAGGCCGGGTAGAAAAATTCAATGGAAAATTTCACGTACATATTCATAAAACCTATCATATTTTACTTTTGCAACACTTTGATACACTTTTCAAAATTTTCAAAATTTTATAACAAGCATATATTGATAATGTTAAATACTAAAGAAATAAAAAGCAAATTACATAAGAATAAATAAAAAAACAAATAATGTATTTTTCAAATAAAACGTACGGCTCTTGACAATTATTAATAATTAATTATCAAAAATATTTAAGAGATGTTTAATACGTACAATAGTAGCAAAAAGTTAAAGGACTGATTTTGACGAATATGCTCTTCTCATATAGTTTGAGTAATAAAGGATTGTGCAGAATGTTATCATTTATTCAGAACTAAGGGGTAGAAATGCTTCTGTTGCTTTTTTTTCTGCAAATTTTCGAATTCTATGGCCAAATCTAACCTAAAATTCCAAATTGAAATCCTTATAACTTTGGATTGCTTCAGTGAACTCCGGTTTTTGTCTTAAGTCTTTCAACATATATAAGAACAATCTGTAAAATTTTTGTTAAATTCCTTTTTTTTTAATTCTATAGGTACAGAATATAAAAATTCTATACCTATAGAATTTTTAAAATAATATAAAAATTCTATACCTATAGAATTTTTAAAATAATAGGAATTTAACAAAAATTTTACAGATTGTTCTTATATATGTTGACAAAAGTCGGAGTCAATTCACTGAAGCAATCCATAAGGATTTTAAAAATTCTATAGGTATAGAATTTTTATATTCTATACCTGTAGAATTTTTAAAATAATAAGAATTTAACAAAAATTTTACAGATTGTTCTTATATGTTGAAAGACTTTGTTGAATGATTATGTTGAAAGACTTAAGACAAAAGCCGGAATCGATTCACTGAAGCAATCCAAATAAGTTATAAGGATTTCAATTTGGAATTTTAGGTTAGATATTTGGCCATAGAATTCGAAAATTCGCAGGAAAAAAAGCAACAGAAGCATTTCTGCTCTCTAGTTCTGAATAAATGATAACATTCTGCACAATCCTTATTACTCAAACTATATGATAAGAGCATGTATTCGTCAAAATTAGTCCTTTAACTTTTTGCTACTATTGTACGAATTAAACATCCTTAAGTATTTTTAAAGAGTTTTGATTATTAATAATTGTCAAGAATCATACGTTTTATTTGATATTTAAGTTGATATTTATATTAA